AAGAACTGACGTTTGCAGGTATGTTCTGTACCAGTGCATCGTGCCAGTTACTCTGAAAGGTATTAAAATTAAATTAAGTGCTACTTTCAATATAGTGCCAAAGATAACATTAATGTTAATGTAAAGTTATTTTAACAATAAGAATAATTTAATTCAGCCGGGTGGTGGTGGCACACGCCTTTAATCCCAGCACTTGGGAGGCAGAGGCAGGTGGGTTTCTGAGTTCGAGGCCAGCCTGGTCTACAGAGTGAGTTCCAGGACAGCCAGGGCTACACAGAGAAACCCTGTCTCGAAAAACCAAAAATAAATAAATAAAATAATAATAATAATAATAATAATAATAATAATAGTAATAATTCAAAAGTAGATAAGGTTGAAAGCTGTGCTATATTAAGCCGAGCGAGCAATACAGCGTAAATGCCTGCGGCCTTTTTGAACTCATCTATGTCAATTCCCACCACGGCATCACACTGGGCAGACAACACAAAGCACAAAAAAGGATGCACAAAGCTCACGAGTGCTCTCTTGCTCCCCTCTCAGTCAGTTGCCCTCAAGTGTCCACGCTCTGGGACAAACAGGGTTTCCTCCATCTCAGAAAGGAGCTTGAGTAGACTCGGGTCTCGAGTCTTCTAGGATACAAATGTGCTGAAAACAACTCCCACAGGGCTGCAGGCATTATCTTTAATAAACTAGTAAATTGTGAAAGAGCTAAAATCTTGGTCTACTTCCTAGCAAGCGTAGAATGTGCAAACTGCCAGAAGAGGGAGCCCATGTCAAATCACTGAACCAATGAGAGAAGCCGGTGAGAGAAGGAACAGACCCATTGCAGCAGGCTTACAAAAACGTCACCTCTTGCAGGCTAGCACCCTGTAGCCGTGATCACACACTCTCCACTGCCAGCTCCTCAGGTGCTACCCCAATCTTCTGTTTGGTTCTGTAAAATATCCTACCACTCAACCTTAAGCCCAGCACAGCTTGTTCCCTCTGTGGGGTCTAACTTCTTTCTCTCCTGTCTCTCATCCTGGCTTATGAAATTCTGGTCACCTTTCAGATCTCAGTCCAGCACTACCCACAGATTCCTTCTAGAACTCCAGTTTCCCACGCCCTTATCCAACCTAGTCCCTCTGCTACCCAGCAGTTACTGCAGTTACCAAAGAGCGTGGAGCAGATGGCTGTGCTCTACGTCCATCCTCTGTGAGATAAAGACCAAGTGTTTCTTTTTTCTATCTCTCCTCCTGGAGACTGGGTTTCTCTATGTAGTTTTGGCTGACCTAAGAGACTCATTATGTGGACCAGGCTTGGCCCTAACTACAGAGATCCACCTGTCCCTGCCTCCTGAGCTGGGATTAAATGTGTGTGCCACCATGCTCTACTCTCGTTTATTTTTAAAAGCAAATAATCTTCCAGTCTTTAAACGACAGAAATACTTAGTGAAAAAATGACTAACTGTAAATTTTTTAATATGTGCAATTTTTGCATTTCAATTATAATTCAATAAAGTGGCAATAAATCAATCATACATACACCCCCACACACACACCCAAAGCTTGCTTGTGCTGGGTGAGGTACATGTGACCCTAACTCAGTATCTCCTGAGAAGAGCCAGAACCAAACATCAAAGCATTTGGTTTCATAGATGATCTGACTAAATTTGAGCTTTTTATAGGAAAATTTATTTATTTCATGAACATAAAATCAATCATCAATCATGAGTAGTACCATGTGACTGTGGTTAATTCTGCCCTCTATCTCCCAAAGCAACCCATGAAAAAGCCTCAGAAAACATGACGTAAAACTGAGGCTTACAAAGCTCACAAATAAAACTATTATTACTATTCATATCCAAATTGAGGCAAGGGCTCTAAATAAAGCGACTGCTGCTATTTGGACATCGGTTACTGGACAAGGCAGCAGTAACATACAAGGCAGCACATTTTACAAAAGGATACTATCTACCCCATCCATTACCCCTCATGAGACACTGAGGGCCTCCCCGGGGCAGGAGGCTTGGGTGTTCAGCTGCCCTTCTTTAGTCACTAATGCAAAGACAACGTGCAGGAGAATGTGCCAGGCTGAGTCTGTCTATCAACAGGGTGGCAGAAAGGCTTTTAAATGGCTTAGTGCTTAGGTTTGAGGAGAGGATAAACTGTGGAAAGCAGTGGACAATGTGTATTTACATTAATATATAATGAGATATACAGGATGGCTAATAACTGGGAAATAAGAAATTTCTTTTAGGGGTGTGTGTGTGTGCGTGCGTGCACGCACGCGTATTCACCTTGGACAAGGTCTCCGTTCTGTAGCCAAGGCTAACCTTGAATTTATGACTCTTCTTCAGTTTTTGTTTCCCGAATATTTTCAACAAAATGTTTTGTTTTGCTTTGCTTTTGTAACAGGAAGGCATTAACATAGAGTTTCCTATAACAACAGAGATAGCAAAGGCCCAGAGGAAGAGAAATTCTGGTGAAAAACAAGAGTGGACCCACCATTTGCAAACAGCTCCAGAGAGAAGTAACAGTGTGTCTCCTGTCTACAAAGAAAACAGGGCTCCTGACGGTACAACCTCAGGGCAGGATGCTAGAAGAAGGGTGTTCCACAACTCATCTACTTGGCCTGATTTTTAAAACAAGAAAGACTTCCACAAAGCAACCACAGGCCAGGACTTGAAAAAAATCCCCAGGTGCTGGAGAGATGGCTTGGTGGTTAAAGAGTACTGGCTGCTTTAACAGAGGACCAGGGTTTGATTCCTGGTACCCACATGGCAGCTCACAACTGTCTACAATTCTTGTCCTCTTTTCCAGCCCCAGTAGATATACATACAGGCACAATGCCCAAACACATAAAATAAAAATAAATATTTTTAAAAGATTTATTTATTCATTTTATATGAGTACACTGTTGCTGTCTTCAGACACACCAGAAGAGGTCATAGGATCACATTACAGATGGTTATGAGCCACCATGTGGTTGCTGGGATTTGAAGAGCAGTTAGTGTTCCTAACCCCTGAGCCATCCCTCCAGTCCTCCCCCCCCACTGCTCCCCACTCCGCAAAATGTTTTTTTTCCCCAAAGAAAAGATAGCCAGAGACAATCTCTATTTTAATTATGATTTTGAAAGGCAGAATTCCTAGAAAACCCACTTTCAAATTTATAAGGGACAGAGAAGTGTATTCTCTACTAGACTGGCAGATGGGGAGGGATCCCTAAGGCCCCCTGCAGCAAATGCTGCTGTCCTTCCTGACACCACTGCTCTGAAGCCCACTGGCTGCAGACGCAGGAGAAGGGGGCCAGGGTCCACTGTATGATGTCCCACAAATCCTCCCATGCTTTAGATCCCTTCCTGTCCCCAGTGACAACAGCAGCGACAAAGGGGACTCATTAATGCTAGGGCCTAGAACAAGCATAAAGGCAGGAGCTGAGGGAGGGCTCTGGGAGAGTGTAGACAACACGCAGGTGTAGCCCCTGCACTACTACTGTCAGGCCAAGATGGGGAAGCAAACAGAACAGGAAGGGGCACGTTATAAATGCAAGCCTGTTGTACGCTGCTGTGTAACACATCTCATCACATCAGTGCCCTGTTTAACACCAGCACCAGGCATGAGAGCCACCTCACAGCAGCTGATTCTGGTGGGGCTAAGTAATGATAGGATCTGATAAAATCAAAACCCAACATTGCTAATATTCCTTAGAAAACAAACTAGGCTGGAGGGATGACCGGCTTGGTGGTTAAGAGCACTTGCTGCTCTTTCAGAGGACCTGGGTCAGGTCCCAGCACTCCTGTGTCAGCTCAAACCACCCTCCAATTCCAAGCGATCCAACACCCTCTTCTGGCCTCAATGAATGCCAGGCACACATGTGGTGCACATTCAAACATGCAGGCAACATAGTCAGACATATAAAACAGACATAATTAACTAAAAAAGAAAATTATATAGAAGACTTTAGATCCTTTATAATTCTAGAAGTACATAAACAACTTTGTTTAGGACAAATCCAAACGCCAATTACAGTGACTGACAAACTGTTCCAAAAAACTCAGCAATTCAGCCAGTCAGCCACAGTGCAAGCACTCATCAGCACATGACAGAAACTAGTAACTCCACACACAAGAAGGGCAGGAGGGCAGACCTCAGTTACTACAGTGTGAGCAGTCACAGCCTGAGAAGTAGTCATAGATGACAACAAAACAGACTGTGAAAATGGGACATGGACACAGACACACACACAGACACAGACACACACACACACACACACACACACACACACACACACACACAGGAGGGGGCAAATAAACAATGAAGGGAGAGTTCCATATTTGTAAAATGACAGTAAAAACCATTGTTTTATTTGAAATCATAAATTCAAATCCAGCAATGGCCAGTGATGTTGGAGCCTTCTGAAAAGACTCTAACACTAACAGAGCAGAGGAGATGGCCCTGCACCCTGCTGCTTTAACAGTAAACTCATCTCTTGATGTGACTCTAGGACAAAGGACCAAGGACGAACACACAGAGTCAAAAGCAAAAGCTGTAGTCCCACCAGTCCTGCATTGACTACTAACAAAACCAAGAACTTAATCCAGGTCCTGCTCAATGATGAGTTCAAATTCTACACCTAATTAATTTTGACTTTAAAGCTACAAGATGCCAACTAGACATGGATTATTAGTACAGCCTGCAGCTGACAGAACTTTTGCAGAAGTCTTTACAATGAAGCATCTACATGTGCAACTGTGTCCAAGGGAAGACAAAAAGAAGGAAGTAACAGCACCCACATGGCGGCTCACAACTATCTTAACTGCAGCTCTAGAAGATCCAAGCTCTCTTCTGGCCTTTGCACAACACATTTAGTGCACAGACAAACATGCACGCAAAACACCCATAAACATAACATACATTTTACAAAAGTCACACCATCGCAATGTTTGAAACTACTATAAAAAGTATGCCCCTGACAAAATATTAAAACAAACAAACAAACAAACAAACAAACAAACTTACCTTTGGTTTTTTGATCAGCAGCCTGAAAAAAAAAATCAGAAATTCTTTAGAAACAATTGTACAGAATGTCCATACTGATGAAGTTTATAAGCAGACTTTTAGTTATTTTAGGGTGTTTTTCTTAGTTTCTTTGAGACGTGGACTCTTGACTGTCCTGGAATTCACTGTGCAGACCAGACTGGACTCAAACTTACAAAGCTTTGCCTGCCTCTCTTTGTTTTTTATTTTATTTTAATCTTGGAGAGAGAGAGAGAGAGAGAGAGAGAGGGAGGGAGGGAGGGAGGGAGGGAGGGAGGGAGGGAGGGAGGGAGGAAGAGAGCGAGCGAGCGCACATGCATCTGCATCTTTGAGTGTTGGGACTAAGATTTTTAATTCTTCAAATGTTTACACCGAGCCTGTTATTCAGCTCATTCACTACTGACGACAAACCTGCTCTGACCACGACAGAGCTAAGTTAGTTACTGGCAAACATTTTTATGGACACCACCTAAACTTTCTATGTGCCAGTAGAAGGGATCCTTCCAACCTCATGGCTCAGTACAGAGATGAAAGCAAGGATGGGTGGTATAATTTGGTTATTTTACACAGTGAAAATGGAAATATGACTATAAGGTTTAAAGAACTCTAAAAAACAGATTTTATGTTTTTCACTGTTGAGTCATCTCTCCAGACTGGTTTATAGAACTTATTTATTTATAAGGATTTATAAAGAATATTTACTAAGACTGCAAAAATTATTTCTAGCTTTTCTAATACTGTCAGTTTCCTGGTTCTCCCTGATATCTCAGACAGGGTTGCTCTGGGCTGGGTACAGTCCATTCTCACGAGGCAGCACGAACACTCTGTAACATTAACTATACAGCCCCAGACACACGGCTTCAGCCCGGCTCTTTAGAGAAGGCCTTCTGAAGCTGGCCCTCTGCACTCGCTTCACTAGCCACGTATCCATGTGTACTAACTACAGACTCAGCATGTTGATTTAGAACAGTAACAGAATCGACCTTGGCCATGAGACAGCTACGGTAACGCAGACAGGACACCAGAGGACATGGAAGAAGGAATCCTAGCAAACCTTTTTCTGAGCACCTTCCTTCTTTTTCTTGTCTTCCTGCTTTTTCTTTTTCTTTTCTTCCATCAAACGTTCCTCTTCTTGTGTTTCCTGTTCTTTTACCCTATTAAATATTTAAGAAGCAGTGTTAGTATGATGACTACTTTAAAGACAATGAAGAAGTAAAGAAGCAACCAGGACTGGTGGCACAGGACTGTTTGGGAGGCTGAAGCAGGAGAATCACAAGGGTAGGCTGGAGTAGCCCACAGGATTAAGTTGGAGACCAGTCTGTGTAGGAGGGTGCTGCTACCATAGCTCAGTAGTGGAGTGCTTGCTTGCCTCTTTGTGAGAGGCCCTGGGTTTGAAACTCAACACTCAAGATACATGATAGGGACATTATTTGTACAGAAAGTCTTGAGCTAGACAATGTCATAAACAGGATAGAGCCACTCTGAGAGGATGTCAGAAATGGAGGGTCACCTCCAGTACTGTAGCAGTTGCCCTGCCTTTCTGACAAGTAGCTTAGCTGTCTCATTTGTTCTGCCCACAACCATGGAGAAACAAACTAGAGCAGGCCTTTGTACGAGGTCTACAGAATAAGGTACCATCAGAGTGTTGTCTCAGACTGCTATCACTAGGTGTTACCTATTAGAAATGGACACTTGTGATTTCTTATCTACCTTACCCAAAAAATCAGGCTCTTTAGAGGTGATTCCCATGTACACTCTAATTTCATGTTTGTTTGACAAAAGGATTATCTTTTTATACAGAACCCTCTTTAGCTGGAGAGCTATTACAAGATACTCGACTTGGAAGAATTCTGCTTTAAAAAACTCAAGACAGCCAACAGCTGGGCTGTTGAGCTAGAGCTAGCCCAAGTGGTGTGTGTCAGTGGTCACTATCTCCTGATAACCCACGCTCTCTCAATAGCACAGGCTTCGCCCTTCTCCTCCTCCTTGGTAGAGGGTACTGCAGGAAGAAGGGCCCTTGACAGTTGAAACTGTGGTGCTGTGAGGTCAGCATGTGGGGCTCCCAACAATGGCTATAGACAAGAGGCTTAGCACAAGCAACGTTAGCTCTGGCAGTCTGGCATCCCATCCAATGCCACTCTCCACAATGACCTTACTCCAGTCCTCCTTCTAGCCACCTACCCATGTCTCTCACAGGTCTCCCAATAAAGTGGCCCTCCTAACAGAAACACTGGGTTCCAGGCCTCCTGTACTGATACCCCACACACATACCTAGCCATCAACATGCCTGGGGCTCCTTTCCTGGGAGCACAAGCAACTGGCTGCGGGGCTTCTGGTTGTGACTGGCTTGCATTCTGCATGTGCTCTAGTTGAAGAGCTTCCTGATGCTCATTCAGCAAATCTGTGCACTGCTCTGTGAGTGTGCCAGCTTTCCAGTGGGGCTCCTTTCTTCGCTAGGGCTTCATCAGCTTGGGCTTCATGCCACTTTCTATAGTTAATTCTTTGTTTGCTTGTTTGTTGAGACAAGGTCTCAGTATGTGGCCCTGGCTGGCCTGGAATTCAGTATATAGACCAGACTGGTCTTAAACTCAGAGATTCCCCTGCCTCTGACTCCTGAGCACTAGAATAAAAGGCATGTGTCACCATGCCTAGTTTCCAGTTAATCCTAGTTAATCCTATTATCACTACTTATTTCTTGAATGAAATATACCCATCTATACCACTGTCAGGCTTCTATATCCTACTAGATAGACCTAGACTAACACAGGTGGACATTTTCAACAGCTAAACTAGAAGAATAATGAGCCTCAGCCAAGCATCGGTCACCCGTGCATAGATGTTGCTTTGTATTTAATAATTTTGCATTTATCAATGTATTTTACATGCAACTATCCATATAAGGAATTTCAAACTAGAGGCGGATTGTTCATAATAAAATACTATCATAATAAAACCAATTTAAATTGATATGGTGGAGGTATCTGTGAATATTCTTCCTTCAAAACAGTAACTATTCAGTCTGTGGCTTCTGATCAGAATTAACTTGGGAAGCTTAAAAACTTCCAAAACCAAGACTGCTGCAGCCCTTCTGGATGAAATCTTTCTGGACAGGACTCTGGCATTAGCAGTATTTAAAGCTTCCAGATAACTCCAGAATCTCTACATTTTATGAACTCTGAAAAATTACTATTCATGATCTACTCTCCAGGATTGTTTGCATGGTAAAAGATATATACACACTGAGCCGTTTGCAGCCATTTGCATGCACTGCATTCTAGCTGCAGGCAGTTCTGAGTCTGACCAGGTATGCTGCAACCAGGCAGCTTTAGTCACACATCTACAAAGAAAAGAAAACCACGTCACGTCAGCAGTGGCTGCTGCCTGCTGCCACAGTCAGGCTTTCTTAACTGACAGCACACTGAGACCCTTAAACTAAGCTCAGAGAGAAAACCTAAGGAAGCGGGGGGGGGGGGGGGGGGGGAGGGAGGGAGGGAGGGAGGGAGGGGCTTGTTCTTGTTACCAAGGTATTCAACAGCAGGAGGAATACCTGGGCTTCTGCTTAATTCTATTCATCTGCAAATTAAAGTAGCGAAGGCCAGCCGCTCTTTAGCTCCTTGTTTACGTGACAAAGCACACCAGCAGCGATTGATCACTCCAACCCTCTAACTCTTAATGTACATCTGCCACTTTTCATTATTAATTTAAAAAACCAACTTCTAACTGTGTTTTTACTTTATAATATAATACACGCCCATGGGAAAGCACTCACAATACAAAGAGGAAAGGAAAGACTCCTTTCCTGTGTGTCAACTGGTGTCATCTTAGAGTCAATGTAAGCTCAAACTTTCTTGGGTATCAAGAATGCTCTTTGTGGGATTGGGGGCAGAGCATTTGCTCCAGCCCTAGGACACCACCCTCCGAGACAAAACAAAAGCAGCAGCTGCTCTAGCAGGTGGCTCCGAGGTAGGCGGTATACACCTGCAAATCCCAGGAAGCAGGAGTGTCTTGAAATTGAACCAAAATATAAATAATTTCTTCATGTGTGTTTCCTTCCTTCTTTCCTCTTTCTTTCTTTCTCTCTTTCTTTCTTTCTCTCTTCCTTTCTCTCTCTCTCTCTTTCTTTGGAGATAAGAGTTTCTCTATGTAACAGCTCTAGCTGTCCTGGAAATGACTCTGTAGACCAAACTGGCCTTGAACTCACAAAGATCCAATGCCTCTGCCTCCTGAGTACTGGAATTGACTTATACTGCACAAGCACTGCCCGGCTATATGCTTCTTCTTAAAAGCAATAAATGAGGTGTACTTATTATCCCCTTTCATCTGTGTTAATGACCCAACCCAGTGAATGTGGGGCTTGTTTCTTTTTTGTGGTTTTGGTAATGGTGGGTGGAGCCTGTGTAAGAGTTATAGCTCTGAGAGGAAAGGCTTTCCCCAATGGAGGTGTTACAGCTAGCTCTAAAGGGAAAGACATCCTGGCAGTGGAGAGCCAAGGAATACCATAAAGTCATACCACACAACAAACCTCACCCAGGAGATTTACTGGGAGAGACATAAGAGGGTGGCTGTCCCTGCTTGGGTAAGAAGCAGCAGGAAACTGCCCAGGAGACAAGCTTCATATCGGGTTTCTTAGTAGGGGAAGTTCCAGGGTGGAGACTTCCAGGGTGGAATCTAATCTTTTACCCTACAGCCTGGCTCTGCTGTTTTTTCAAACAGGCAAACAACACGTGGCACATGGAGGTCACATTTCAACTTTTTTGTGGAACCTTTTCTTCACTCCTTTGAGGCAGGGTCTCACTATGTGGTCGTCTGGCTGGCCTGGAACTCACGATGTAGAGCAGAGCAGGCTTGAACTCATAGAAACCCACGTGCTTCTGCCTCCGAGTACCAGGGTTAAAGATGCGCACCACTGGGCTCAGCTGCTGTTTGAAGGCTTTTCTTTTATTTTTTAATGATAGTTTAATTTTTCATTTTATGTGTATTAGTGTTTTGCCAGTCTGTCCGAGGATGTCAAAACCCCTGGAGCTGGAATTACAGACAGTTATGAGTTGTCATATAGCTACTGAGAATTGAACCTGGGTCCTCTGAAAAAGCAGAGAGTGCTCAGAACAGATTAGCCATCTCTGGTTTGAAGTTTTTAATTGCTGTTCTTTTATTCTTCCTGCCTTTGTTTGCATGTTACATATTTCCCTTCTCCTAAAATTTAAAACCCAGCCTTCAAAACAAACAAAAAAACAGGGCCCTAGGTATCTAGGCTGGCACTGTGTTGAACCGTATGTAGCGGAGAACGATCTAGGTAGGTATTCCTGATCTAGGTACATTTACATCCCAAGTGCTGCTATTTCCAGAGCTTTCTGTCTAGCTCCTTTTGGCTGGGAGTAGTCCTTGCTAGATAGAACTGACAACATGACAGGTACACCAGTTTTAAAAAATTAAACCTTCTGCTAAAGTGTATGTTGCAATAAAACATTTTAAAGTATGTATAGCTCAGGCCTGTCTGTGCAGTTCATAAGCCTCAGGCCCCACTATGTAAGTATAGTTTTCTCCCCTCATCGAAGACTCTTTTTGCAATAAAGGTTTAATACAGAGATCCATAACTGGCCACATGCAGAGAGCAGCTAACAGTGCCCAGAGCCAGTGGTCAGACCTGCAGCACAACCCCCACTCCTAAGCTCAGGGAGCATCATGGAAAAGGGAGCAGACTGGGACATCTGCAGCTAGACAGTGCTACTTAGTCATGACAGGGAAAATGCACCCAGGAACTCTCAACATTATCTGAACAAGACCAGCACACATACCAACACGGACATGGGAAACTCCACAAGGTTCTACCCCTAAATGAAGGGTTCCAGATGGTCAATGGCTGCTCAGAGGAAGAATCACTTTCCTCCATGGACCACCTCTTACATATGGTGTCTAACCCCGAGAGGTCAACCCTGGACATATGTACAAACCAGCAATGCTAAATGGACTCGGCAGACTGCATAAAGGTGTATATAGTGTGGGTATACACACACACATGAATATATATAATGTGGGTATACACA